GCGTGAGCAGGCCCGTTTGTTCCTACAGGAAACAGAGCTGTGAAGGACATCAGCACTCGTGAAGGAGACCCGCCCACAACCTACAACCAGCTTCATGCACCACACATACACGTATGTGCTCTCAGTGATAACAAGCTTGAGGAAAACTACAAAAACCCACAAAGTTGAAGCAAAAGCGTCCGTCCAACATCCTGCATTAGGAATGAAGCCGCTGCAGCTCCTAACACATCTGGCTCCAAAACAGGAGCTCGCTGAACACTGAACATGCAACATTTATTCTCCAGCAGCAGGAAGGCTCATGGAAGATTGATGGAGGAAGAGAGAGGAGTCAGTGTTACAGACAAAGAAGAAGATGAAAAGAAAGAGGCGTTAATGACACACCAGAGAGGATGAGGAGGGCTGGAGACGGGGTCTGAAACGAGCCGCAGCCACGATCCTGTTAAATGTTACCTTTGATGGATAAATCAACAGCAGCTCGCTGTCAGAGTGCATCTCATTTCAGATCAGCCTCCAATTCTCAGGCTGCTTCGTTTACTAAAGCTCCGTCTTTGCGTCCCCATCGGCACACAGCAGTACCTTAGTGACAAACAGCTGGTTTCAGACCCTGCCTGTGTTTACAGAGAGCAGCTGAGCAAACGCAGAGCGCGGTGTGTGCGGGCCCTGGACGCGCTGCTCCATCTACCTGCTGAGCTTCCCTCTACGGCGCTCTGCCTGGAGGTCTGGGGCTCTGTGGTGCAGCAGGCACAGACACAACATAGACGTGAGAAAAGCTGACAAATGTGAGCAGCTCCGCTCTGCAGCCCAGCGGCCGTGGGTGGCGAGCTAGAAACACCAGACTGCTTCGCTCTGATCCATTTAGTCACACGGCACTGACGCATTAGGAGCACTGATGCCACACATACACACACACACTCACACACACACAGCTAGCTTACAAACAGCAAGTTAGCGAGAACCTGAGGAAGCAGCACAGACGCCTGATACACACCATCAGTGTTAATATTAATGTTGTGCAGTGAGAGCACACTTGGAAAATAAGACAAATACAAAACTAACGCGTCAGCATGTAACACAGCAAAGCTGGCATCTCTCCAGGATCACAGAGACCTTCAGTGATCTGAAGTTTGTCCACGACGAGGAGCACAGCTGTACACTCAGCTGCTGCCTCCTTAATGAAACCACACTAACACACAGGATAGAACAACATATACATCTGCAAACATACAGGAGGTCCAGACTCCAACACTGGGAACCAGTGACCTGGACAATAAGACACATGCATGTACCGTGGTTTGCAAAAGTATTCCCCTTGAACTTTCCCACATTTTGTCACATCACAGCCACAAACATGGATCAATGTTATTGGACTTCCAGGTGAAAGACCAACACAAAGTGGTGAACACGTGAGAAGTGAATGAAAATCAGACATGATTCAAACAT